ACTTCTTCCTCAATGGACAATGTCCTCCCCTTTGCTGTAAGCCATGTGGAAGACAGCCCTCTCTAGCCTTTCTGTTGAAAGCTCTCACTCACTAATCATTACAGTATCCAGGGATGGAAAAAGAGACTCCTGCCTACTGGCTAGCAACCTGCCTGTCTCCAAACTATTCCACATTTGACATCAGAGAGTCATGAAGATCAAACACAGTCAACTTAATCACACAACAGCAAAGCGATGCTCTTCAGCTTGATAGCTGTTAACTTAGTCAGCTGAATTACACTTTGAGTCTTTAGATCTGGCCTGAAGTTCGTTGCTTTAGGCATGTACACAAAGCCATCTGTGGGCTAAAATATTCACCAAGATCTAGCTGCCTGCAGAGACTGATCAATTAACTAGATGTGAAGAAAAGGTAGCAAGAGCCACTGAACTGACTGCAAATGTGAGGGATGATCTGAAAGTAACACCTCCTATTTCATTATGCTGGCCAATGACATAAGAGGCGGATCTTGTTGATATGAAAGTAGAGGCTGAACCTTCCCACCAATTTTCATTCTGTTGCCGTGCGACGTGACAGCAGGGAGGGGCAGGCTGACAAAATGGCATCTGAACATAGGAGTGCATATGAGTGCATAAGAAAAGATAAACAAATTCTTCCATGCAGAAAGAATGGCACCCACTGACTTCCATAAATGCTTGCTGAACATTTATGGAGACCAAATAGGGAATGTAAGCACAGGGAGGTGGTAGGTGGTGTGTTTCAATACTGGTGACAGTAACATGAAAGACAAGCCACGCTCTGGATGGCCACGCATAGCTGTCACACCACAAAATGAAGAGCAACTCAACCAGCTCACATGAACAAATGAAGCGATTACAATCAGGGAACTGTGTATGGAGCTGAATGTTGGCTTCAATTTGTTGCAAATGATGGTGGCAATGTTGGAATATCATTTGTGCCAGATGGATCTTACAAATGCTCACAGGAATAAAAAGGAATGCAACTTGGTTGGAACTTACTGAACTAATACAAGGCTGAAAGTGATAATTTCCTGGATCACATCATCATCAGTGATGAAATGTGATGTCACCACTATGAGCCAGAGTTAAAAAGGCAGTCCATGGATTGGCAACATGCAAACTCCCCATTAGAAAAAAAGTTCAAGGCATAGCCCTCAGTAAGTACAGTGATGTGCACTGTCTGGGGATAGTAATGGGGTGATCCTTCTAGATTTCCTAGAATCCACACAAACCATCAACTCTGTTACATCATTACACTGGCTAAGCAAAAGGTTCAAACTTCCAGAGTCAGGCCAGAGAACAACACGTTTCTCTTGCAGCGTAATAATGCTCGGCCCCGTCCTTGTTTGAAGACAGTGGCACACACTGGCAATCCTGGCTGGACCATCCCACCACACCCAATGTACAATCTGGATTTGGCACTTCATGACTTCCATCTGTTTGGGCCAATGAAGTATGGACAGCATGGACAACATTTTCCTAGCAATTACTCTGTCAGAGTAGCTGTGAAACAGTGGTCACCCTCACTGTGCAGGTATTTATGATCATGTATGCTCTTGTTAACTGCTGGAGAAAATTCACAGCTAATGGTACTATGTTGAAAAACTGTCAGTAGCTCTATCAAGTAATGAGAGTATGGTCTTCATATCTGTTGTAGTTTCCATGGAAATAAATAGGAAGCATTACTTTCAGAGTAACCTATGTATTATTCTGATAACAGCAGTAAAGCTCTGAAAACACATCTCTCTGGGAATTCAAAGATGTGCTAGCAAATGTTTTCTAAAATCTATACAAGAAAGCAAGTCAATCTTCCAGAAAACAGCTCAGTGAATTTACGCAGTCCTATTCAATTTATTATAACTTAATGAAATAAAAGCCTGTAAGGAAGAAAATGGGTGCAATACATATTTCAAACCTGAAAATTTCAAACCTAAATCACATCTTCAGAGAAGACAATGGAATTTTGTTTGATTAAATATTCAAATAAAATACAAGTCTTCATAAAAGTAAGGCCAGAAATCTTGGATTATTTACAAGGTTCCCAACTAAATCCTCCTTATGTATTACAAAACACAATCCCAATATTTTTGTAGCTGGATGTGATGTGAAGCCAAATGTGCATCTGCACTGTTTTGCTGACTACACTACAAAAAACCCTATCAAACCTGTATTCAATGCCTTAGGGGGAGGTCGTTCTATTTTTCTTAAAAAAAAAGAAAAAAAAAAGTTTTCTACAATAGATTTTACTTCTGTGCTCTAAAACCAAAAGTATTTTTAGCAAAGGAGTCACCTCCCTCACATCCCTGCCTACAAATATTACATGTTGGTTTGCTCTGCATGCAGGTATTTTTTTCTTCGCTTTTGTTATGAATGCAAACTATGATGCACAAGAGCACACCTCACTAACACCAATCTTCATCTATGGTGGTCTTCAGCTGGCCGCTGTGAGCCAGATCAAAGTTACTCTTCTTCATCCCCTGGCTTCTGCACCCAGCTCCCTGGCCTGAGACCATAAATCTATCGATACCTTCCACCCCAGCTACAACGGAACAGTTTGTTAAGTGCAAAATGATCAATAAATCAGACCTTAAGTTCAGCCCACTACTATTTCAAGTTAACTACAAAGAGATTATTTCCCTTTAGCCTCATACCTATACAAATTTAGACGAATCGATCATTTGGGTTCAATTCCCTCACTTGGTGCAGGAGTTTGAAACAGTTTTAACTGCAGCTCCAAGCAGTGCAATTCTTCACTGCTGCAGGAGATGCCAGACATTCAGATGCCTGAGAAAAAAAAACCTCCAAAATGGACATAGTAGCAAGATAAACATGTGTGGGTGCAAAAGGGATTTTCAAATGTTCTTTTACTGTGTTTATGAATCTCACAAAGCAGCTCTGTATCAAGAGTGGGGGAGGAGAAAGTATAAAAATATTAATCAGTTACTTATCTTCTGACATGTTCTGGATCAACATCTGGTGCATGTGCAAGTGATGAAGTATGGCATTTGGCACAAAAGCTTATTTAATCTTCTCTTCCCAAATTGGGCAGGGAAAATTAGCACTCTTAAAAATTAAGTTTCCAGATCCAATTTTTTTCTTTAAAATAAATTGCCAACATTGTATAGGCTGTCTGCTCTATTTTGGAAAATGTTTTTTGTCTGAGAAAAGACTGATCTTAAGTAGATTATCTCTGGGCTGTTTCCTACCGCTTTTTGTCTTGCTTGCAGTATCTAACTGCCAGGGTTTCGTAGACAAGTATAGTCTAGGTTCAGCTGTTTTATTTCTACTTCTATCAGCTCAAACTGAGATAGCTCTCACATCTGTTTTATTTCTGAAAGCACTGCATAGGAAAAGTGTCCAGCTCATTCTAATCAAGCATAAACTTTCCTATAAATAACTAAGGACCTAACGAAACAATTGTTTGGAGGAAATGAAAGTGTGTTTAGAAACTCAAATTCCTCTACACTGTATGCCTGAGCTGTTCCAGTTAGAATGTCTTCCTGACAGCATGGATCAGTTGCTTTAAGATGCTGTCCCTGGAGTCAGCAAACTGAAACTATAGCAGGAAATCCAGGTATTAACATCATACTACTTGCTAATTATAAAACATCATTTCACATTCTGACATTATTCACTTCTAACCTCCCTCAACTATATCATGTATTTGCTTTCTGATCAGTTTGACAGGAGAGAGCGTCTGACACAAGACAGAGAGGTGATCTTTTAATAAGACAGCAGTTCAAAAATTGCAGTTTTTAGGCGTAATAACAACCTTAGTTTGATTTGCTGTTCCACAAAGAAGTTGTAGTTTCTGAAAAAAGAGCAGAAGTTTAAATCATTTTATAAGCTTCAAGTTCCTGACTTGTGTTCCTGTTTCGGCTTCTTAGTTGAAGTTAGGTATTAACCATCTTAACCTGCTTTGCCAAATATCTTTCTTATAGCTTGAGCCTCTGCAAGCGTTATTAAATGTCTTCCACATTCTGTAATTTCTTTTAAACACAACTTGGTGTTTTGTCTGCTAAGTGCTACGACATCACATCCTATGCCAACATACTCTTGGAATTAGATGGACATTTGAACTCATTTTGTATGCAAATCTTAGCACTGAACCTTGCTCCCAGAGTACTGAGGTACTCTACCACATCTCTCTGCATCTCTCAGCACAGTCGTGGGAGGATATAGTTTAAAAAAAAAAAAAAAAAAAAAAAAAAAAAAAAAGGCAGCACCAAAGACTTTCCTTCACTAATTACATATTAACTGACTAGTAGAAACTCCAAGAAAAAAAACTTCTGACTCCACTTCTTTATGGTAAAAATAAGATTTCTTTTTTGCAGCACTATCTGAAATGTAGTATTTTCACTGCTCCAGTTACAAAAGAAAATGACTGAGGCACGCTCTCTAAAGTGAAGGACATCGTGCATTGCTGTTACTCTTAAAAACGTTTTAAATACCCATTGTGTATCCTGTCTATCTGGCACAAGACAACTACAGCATTGCCAAGACTTGTCTATTTCTTTTTTTTTTAATCTTAATAAAGAACCAATAAGCCAAATCTCGACTCCCAGCAGCTGATAATTTAGGATTATATTTTTAATTTCCAGCTGCTGTCCTTTGTCTGTCTGGTTGTTATTATTCATTATTATTTGCTACTTTCTTTCAACGACAGTAAATCCTTCAGATGTGATTACCAATAGTAATAGTAATTTGCCTGCTTGCTGACTATGATCTTTTACTATTGATTATCAGAATGGCAAAACTTTACACTGAGATATCACTGATCTAAAAGCCAACTGCTCCTCCACTGCACAAGATGCTAAGCAGACCTGCAGCAATTCTGGCTGAAATAGACCCGAATGGTTCGTAAGGCTTAAGCAGGTTACATAAAATACTTCAACTGCGTAGGTAGGAGAGGCTCTGCAAACAACTGACTTTGCAGCTGAGAAGGCAGTTAGCAGAAGAGAGGAGACTGGAAAAATACAAACCTGCACATCATAAGTCCCATTTAATAAGACAGGCCTCTGGGAATTGATGTCCTGCAGCACCCCCGAAAGCACAGTGCGGTTGACTTTCTGGAAGTCTTTGGAGTGGCTGAATTGCACCATGTTGTGGAGAGCCAAAATCTTAGTGTCGAGCTCAGCATCCTGCCTGGTGCGGTTGTGCAGTCCTAGGTGGTACTTGCGGAAGTGTTTGATGAGATCTGTGGGGTCGTTCCCGTAGTAACCATACCCACAGATGTTGCATTTGAAGTCCTGAAGCTCTGGAGACAGAGGCGCCGTATCTGGGTTATCGTTTACCAACAAATCTGCTTTAGATTTGTTCAGCCTTAAACCCCCATCTGAAGGCACTTGTGGGTTTTTTGAGGCCATGGGGACCGGGCTTGAGCCTTGGCCATCAGTTTGACCACTTTGCACTTGCGCCGTTTCATCTGAAGCTTTTGGCGACATCTGATGCTCCTCATTTGTCTGTGCTGCATCTCCTGATGGGGCACAGACCACATCTTGGGTGTCATCTGCATCTGATTTCTGAGGAGACTTCAAGGGCTCACAGATTCCCCCAACAGCTGGAGATGAGAAAGCCAGCATATTTCTGTCTGTCACCTCATCATGAGGGAAGGATGGAACATTTCCTCCCTTATTGTGGCTTTCATAATTGAAGCCAGCCTTTTCACTCAGCACTGAGCTTTTCAAGTCCTTTTTAATGCTGGAAGATGGCTCTTGGACATGCGTGCAAAGCTCCTCCTTGTTATTCAACTCTGCCGCATCAGGCTGGTCAGTGTTTTCTTGCATCTGCTCTGTGGAAAATTCTTTTTTCCTTCCAGACTCTTCACTTTCAGTACCTGTAGACTCAAGGGTCTGTACCTCACCTTCACTAGCAACGTTTCTTAGAGGGGGATTCTTTTTCCGGACCATATCTACCATAGAGAGACAAAAAAAAAAAAAAAAAAAAAAAAAAAAAAAAAAAATCTATGGAATTATTCAAGATACACAGCAAGTCTGACACTTCTTAAAGCATTCTTAGCTATACAGATATATCAGATTTTCAGAGTTTTATCAAACAGGCTTTTAGTCTACACAGCAAACTGGAACTCTCCATTAAAAAAAATGGTCACGAGACTTAATTCAACTAAGAGAACTTTAAAGCCTATGAAAACACTTCCATTGCTGTGAGTGAATTACATCTTTCATTACATTTTCTGACAATAACAGTTCAGCAGAATTAACATTAAATAAATATTTTCTTTAAAACATGTTTTAAAAACTAAGATAAAAAATAAGCCTTCGTAGACTAATGCCCATATACTGTTCAAGCACATGATACATAGCCTACCAAAAAAATACACCTAAAAGACATAGTCAGGAGCACTGAAGTTATAAAGGAAACAGATTTAGGAGAGCAAGCAACTTTGAGGTTTCAGAGAAAGTATTTTTCCTAAGCAGGTATCAGTTTCTCTATAGCAAAAGCTCGCCCTTGTTCTGCCCATAAACTTCAGACAGGATTATATGGATATTCAAGAGTCTGGCCCCACAGTCCATTATTCATGTAATTAGTTCTATTTGCCAAACAAAGAGAAACTAACTTTATTAGGAAGCCCGCTGTCAATAAAATTTTACTGGCCTGGACCCAGACATTTGACATGGCTGTGCTGCAGCACAGGGATCTACCCAGAGAACACCTGGAACCCACATGGATCCCATCACGCCAGCCCCTCTGCTCAGCCCCACTTTTCAGACAAGGCCGCCGCTGCTGACTGTGCAGGCACATCCACTTAGCAGAGCTCAGAGAGGACAGCAACGAGGAGCAGAGAGAAGGAAGCAGCCTGCCACCAGTGAATGAGCTGCTAGCTGGACAGGGGACACTGTGGGACACAAATAACCATAACACACCAGGTAGTAAGCCAAATTCCTGATGCGCTACAAACCTTCACCTTCCCCAGCCTACTCAGAAAAAGAAATTATCTAAAACTTCCCTTCACTCTCCACTGCATGGTTCTGGATTTGATATTCACCACCAGCAGCTTTGATCCATTTGTGTTCACATGCTGGCTACGGGCAGAAGACAGATGTGCTACAACTTTTTCTATGCTCTTATCTTTGCCAATGCTGTATACAATGATGGATGCCTCTCCTTGCCAAATTGCGTGCGGTCCAGTGGCAGCAGCCTGCAGAACCACACACAAGATGCAAGCTGCAGACTGAAGCCCCAGTCCCAGGACCGCCGTCACTGGGCACGTGCGGAGGCAGTATATAGATGTATGTACGCATGTATTTATAGCTCTGAGAAGGGAGGACCACCTGGTGATTCTAGGAGCAGCACTGATGCACTCCAAATGGTGCTAAATCCAGACCTTTAAAAGCTGAGGATGACCTTCTCAAAACAGTACTTTGAGAAGTACGGCTGGGGACAGAGGTTAAAAATAAAAGAACAGGCGTCTGTACATCCCCTTATTTACATCTGCTCCACATGAAAGGGCACTGTATGTTACGTCGATAAAAACAGACAACTTCTTAAGGGAAGTGTTCAACTTGTCTCTTGGGCTGGCTCTGTTGTCTTTGTGGTCGAGCCGATCCACAGGCAGCATGGGCTGCAGTGAGATGGCTTTCACACGGAATACCAGCTCTTATTACAGAAATCTCGACACTCCGTGTGGTCCTAATAGGATTCTTAAATGCCCTCTGTGATTCCTCATTGTAGGAGGCACACATGCTTTGGAAGCAAGTGCCTCCTCTTTAACATCAACCACATCCACCAGGATACGTGCGCACTGAATTTCACTGGTTTTTTCCCCAGTAACTTTTGAACCATGAAGTCACTCAGAACTAAGAGAAAAGAAGGATTTCCTGCTGTGGTAAGAGAACTATTACTCTACAGACTCAGCCTACTACAAGAACATACGCACATATATAATTCTAGGTATAAAGACAGTCCTTTCAGCACTGCTGCTTTTCTGCAGGAATCCGTGAATACTTTTGGTTGACACACACTAAAAATACTGGTGGGCATCTCTGGTAGGTGTTCATCTCAGCCTGTATTTTTCATCTTGGTTTCATCTTTAGAAACAACTCAAACTGTTTCTAAAATAACTACTGGTTAAATGCATTTCATGGCAGTTAGAGGACAAAAAGAGGAGCCTGGACTGTGAGCAGTGAAGAAAAATCAGAAATCAAGAAAGTAAACATTGTAGCTGTTACCTCAGTCAAAATTAAACAAGACTGAACGCAATGTTTTAAAATGTTTTTGTTATAGATATTTTTGGCAGATAAGGAAAGTTTAGAGATTTTGCTATCTTCATGGCAACTCGCAGAAGAGAGTCAGAGAGGACAGAAAAAAAATCCCTATAAAGCAGAGAAAAGAAAAACCTGGACCGTACACAGTCTAACTAGACATTACTCCAGATCTAGATGTTTTAGCTCAAATTTTCCTGACATAACCGTATGCTTGTACATTAATGGAGGAGGGAAAAGAAATCGCCTTGCAGAGCTCTTTCATGCAGTATTCTACGCTCGGGGAGTGAAAAAGAAGACAACAACATTGATTTAAACATCAAAACTTTCCGAAGCTCAACTGAAAAGGATTTTCTCCCCTTTTTACTTTTCATTTCTGAAAAACCTTCTGACATTTATTTGCTTGATATCCACTCAGGGGGACAGTAAAAAAAAAAGACAGTATTTTTTTGTCGCTGAAATTCTACCGCTATCGTTTTTCAGAGACATATTATGTAAATAAAACTACATCTGTAGTACTCCTAAATTGAAGAAACCATCCCCTAGCAAGTAATAAGTTACATACAGAAAGAATATAGCCACTCCGAAATTATTATTTCTAAGACAAATAACAGATTGCACAATGTTTTATTGTGTGCCAAGAATGTTTTCAGTTAACAATTTCACTTGAAAAAATGGATCACATACTTGTAAAATCATACCCAGCATTGACTTCATAAGGCATGTGGCTTTAGAGTGCTTTTTACAATTATTAATTCTATTAGTCAACTAGCAGGCAGGCTAATGCAATTGTCTTAGAAGATGCACGGAAGACACAGAAGACATTTTGAGAGCTGATCTGTATATCTGCAAAACAAAACAAAAAAAAAGGTTTTCCTTCCTAAGTTATGTATTCAAAATAAGCTTTTTATTTACAAACATTGTTATGCCTATTGTACATTTACATGCATCTATTAGTGGGCACTATGCAAATAGTGTCTGTTCTCTACTTCACTTAAGCATAAGAAATATCATAGCTCTCCTTAGACAGTCTCTCTCTCTCTCTCTCTCTCTCTCTCTCTCTCTCTCTCTCTCTCTCAAACACACACACACACACACACACACACACACACACACAAAGAGAAAGCAAAGCAAAAACTGTAAAGTCCACCAAAAAGTAAATTTAAAATGAGCTGTAGGTAAGTTTTGAAAATCAGCTGGATAAATGCTGTAGAAAAGTGTTGTGACGATTCACATATATCAGCAGGTATTTATTGTAAAGGGACTGGGTTAAAAGGAAGTGAAAATGGCATACAAATAACGTTCCAGTCCAGGTTCTGTTGTCAGCAATTGCAAGTTATCACCTGCTGGCTGCCTACAGCTCCAGTTGCAATGAATTTAGTGGTATCAGTTTAGTTGCCAATGGGTAACCAGACACATCTCAAAAATGCCACTGCAATAACAAACGAAATTCTTGGCCATTTAGTAGAGGCCAACTGCTGAGCAGACGCTAGGACAGAACTGCCTTAACTACACGCAAATGGTCATGTTTCCAAAATGAAAAACAAAACAACCACTAAGCTTGATGTAAATGAAAAGGTGTCTTGAACTGTGCAAGCTTTGTGTACCAGGCTGCAGAACTCAACCATAATCCAGAGGTTAGTACCTTATTTTCCTTATGCTGAAATTATCCTTTAAACCATGTGGGTTTGTTTTACCTGATACGATCACCCTCAACTATTTTCTAGTTGAACTAATACTAACAGCTACATACAGTTTCCCTCAAAACCAGGCAAGGCTCCTCTGCCCAATTCCTGTATCTAACAGAGATTTTTGTTTTGCAGTCACATCAGTTTGTACCTGGAAGCAGAAGGTGGAATCCTCTACTAAAACCAGTTTCTAATTCACAATAATGAATTACCATAGTGACTAGTGCACTCGGTTCAAAAAAGGAAAGCAAAAAAGCAAATTCTGATAAGCAACAGTTTTTTTACGTGTGGTGAATACAAAAGCTAATTATCTGCTGATCATCAGCTCTCTCAGTGGGTCACTGTTGCTACTCTTTACTTTTACTGAACGTGATGACTTGTCATCAAAGCCTGTTGCAACAGTTCAGCTGCTGCCTTCTGCTTGCTCTGCAGGTTTAGGTCAAGTCTTAGTCATATTCTCTTTTTAACAGAATTTATGAGGAGGTCTGAATCTTGTGATACACCACGGAATAATATCTGTACAGGTCTACAAACAGCAAACTGAGTCAAGGGCCTAAAAAGACCGTGATGTTATCCATCAATATGCTGCAGCATCAAGTTAAATGAAAACACACATTTATATTCAACAGACTCAAGTAGGGCCTCTTTGTTCAGGTACAGTAAAATTAATACTTTTACACTCATATATATTACACACCCCCACACTCATATATAATACACATACAGCGCTTAAACATCCATCATTTTGCCAGAATAATGCAGCAAAAAATCATTAACTCTCAGTGTCTCAGCTTAATATATGTCTAATACTTACCTATCTCACAGGAGTGTTGTGAGGCTTAATTAATTAGTGACTGTAAAGCACTTTGTGATCCTCTAATGAAAGGTGCTACATAGCACAAAGTATTATTAAAATCATTAGGACCACAAAAAAGCCCTGTGGAATTCTAGCCTACACTGTCTGTTGGGGTTAGGAGTGATCTTATTATTAAAAGGAGACCGTCAAGCTAATTTTCATAATTTTTTCAAGATCTTTCATCCCCCTTTGCTGTTGTGATAGCATGTTAGTAGCTAGAAATTTAATCTTATCATCTTAATAACATACACTCATGTAGTTTGTTACTGCAGGGCTAAAGAAGAGAACAGGGCTTTTGGCACTCATCTGGCTTTCCCTTTTAAGAAAAAAAAAAAATTGAGAGACATATTTTGACACCTTCCCACACTCCACCCCACCAGGACAGCTGATCATGTGAGATCGCAGGATGCTCAACAGAGCTGCATGGGAAAATACTGCTGTGGTTTTAATTTCTCTCTCTTTTTTTTTTTTTCCTGTGGAAAAAAAAAAAAAAAAAAAAAAAGATAAAAAACAAACCCCAGCTTATTACACATAAATATGCTACAAAGACTGTCTGCAGTGCTTTATATAAAAAAAAAACCCTTCAGCATTCAAAGCATCTGCTTCTATCCCGCACATAAAGACCTAACCCGTCTGGAGCCCGTACCTTACACCCTTTTCCCCACTCTCTCCACAACAGAGCAGCTGTAAGGAGCAAAGGCTCCAAAGCCAAAAATGTCATGTCCTGAGAGAGAACTTCCGTGTGTTACCAGCTGGGGAGCAGCACTCTGTGCAGCCCTCAGTGCAACCTGAAAGCCAACAAGACCACCAGAATAGCCCCAAGTTCAAAGGTTTTGGACTTTTCTAATCAAAGCATTTTCAAAATTAGTAATCAACACCATCTGTAAATACACTGGATAATCCAGGTGAAATTCTCCTATGCTGTTCCTGCTGAAAATTATCAAATGTGCTCCCTGGTCTAAATGAAATGCAAACTACCCTAGACTAAGACACAGCAAGACTGGTCAAAGCTCCCATCTTCACTTTTGTCTGCTGAGAAAGGAAGAGAAGAAAAAAGACTTTCGGTAAGCAACTCCGGAATCAGATCCTAAACCATGGGAGGGCAGAGTAACCTTAACTACAAGCAATTCCTTCTTCAAGTAAGACCTCTTCCCCAGCTTCTTCAAATACATCACACAGGAAGCTGTAAGACTAGCACACCGTAGTGCTAAGCAAGAGCAATTAATTATTAAGTGCTTACTAAGCTATATATATGTTTTTCTACAAGCCAGTCTTTCCTGCCTGTCACTGATTAGAATAGAACAAGTCTCTTCATATCAGTAACATTTGGCACGATCAGATGCTTCATATGGTCGAGATACCTACTTGATATTCTATATTCTGCATGCACCACTGAAGCCATGATAGCTTCATCAATCTAGAAAATGCAAGAAGAAAAATCATCTCTTATAGCCTTATAGTCCTATAGCAAAATGCTGTTGTGCTCACTACATCCCCTCTCCCGCTGCATTTCCAGGTCTTTCCACGTGGTCCCTGACCACCAACTCACCAAGAGCTGTTCATAATTCTTTTTCAGCAGTTTACAACAAAGAGAGAAATAAAAAAGGAAAAAAAAAAAAAAAAAAAGTATTTTGTTGAAGCTTGCTCAGTCCTATTAAAGTTTACTTTCCCAACCCTGATCGTTCTCAGAGCTCTTCAGGTTCATTTTTGGACATCTCTCCTGTTCAGTTATTAAGAATCATCACCTTCAAACAGCTCTCATCAAATAAATCTCTTTATTAACTCACTGCCAATTAATTCAAAATGCTCTTTTCTATTACCATATGCTTCAGAACACAGCACAGTACTAGTAGTCATCCAGCCACTGGAATAAATCTAACCCTTCTATGGGTATAAAGCAGACACTTGCTCACTTCAGGGAGTTTAGGAGCAGCCTGCAGACACTTTCAGGAGAAAGCAAAGCCAAAAGGTGATTTATCTGAGCAGGCAATGCTTGCTGGAATATCAGAGTACCCAGCACCCAAAACCAAGAACTCCACAAGTGTTTCTCCTATTGTGGGAGCCTTAGCACAGCAGTTTGCAGCGCTGCATTTATTGGTGGTCCAATGCAGGGAGCTTGCTGCCAGCAGACCTCTGGAACCCAAGAAGGCAAAGATGTGCTTTGTCTCCACTTTCAATCCAGCATCTATAAGTACTCTATGTCATGACAACCTGTTAAAATCTGGAAGGCCCTGTGAAACAGGCAAATTAATATAAATGACATTTTATGAGTAAATGAAAGGATCTACAGAGAGAGATGTGAAAACAAGAGCGTTGCAGGAGACCTGCAGCCAGGGTTCTCAGCTCGGCACTAAAGCTGGTTCCTTGTGACTTTCAGGCCCACATCCCTCCCTGCATTTCAGCAGGGAGAGCTTCAACCTGGCACTTGGCAAAAGACCAAGATCCTGTAATTTAATAAGGTACAGAAAGAGCACCTTGCGCAAAAGCCTAAATGCTCCAATTTATCATGACGGTTACAGGATAAGCTGACATTTTATTTATATGGAAATTAGTCTCCAAAACAACATAAAAAAGCCATACTTTCAAAGAATATTGTGCCTTTGTTTCCCTGCTCTGCATTTATCTAAACTCAGCTTTGTGTATTAAAAGTAGTTTAATTTTTATGTATTGATGCTGCTTTGCATGCCTCCCAATCTGTCGTTATTGCACTGCAGGGAGAACTCAGCCTGATTTACTTACTGCAATGAAATAACTGACTTCTGCCAGGACTGACACCTCCTACGAAAGCCCTACCATCCTCACTGAGTCTTCTGGTTATTCTATTAATTTGCAGTCGGTACTCTTTAGAGAATTGCAGAGCATTCCCTATTAGATCAGACCAGAGGTCCATTTAGTCTGGTGTGCTGCCCTGGAGAACGGCCAACACTAGATCCTCCAAAGAAGGTTCACTGCCTTTGGACTGACACAGAATCGCCTACCTCTGTGGAAAATAAATCGCTGCTAATCCTCAACACTCAGACAGTGGCTTGTTTTCTGAAGAGTAAGAAGGCTTACATCCTTTAATTATCTCTCATTTATGTTCTATGATTTGTTGTTAAATAAATCTGTACATCCTCACTTCCAATAAAAGTATCCAGTGTCTATCTGAACATTATGACAATCCTGGTATCGTGTAGCTCTACATTTACAATCTAATTATGAACTATTAAGAGCAAACATTTTCAGCATTTTCATTTTGATCCTTTCCACT